ATTACCCATTGCTCTGTCTGTTGTCATTGTTGTAGTTTCTTCAAGTTCCCAGGTGATGGGGGAAAACAACAACAACAAAGCAGTCTGGGCTTTGTAGAGGGCTGGACTTTCTATTCAAATTAGAATTATTTTTAGAAAGCTGCTATAGAATTTAGATTTCCTTGAACAAAAGGCTTTCATGAAGCCATATGCTGGTGTGATTTCCTCAGATAAAGCCTTAGAAATGTTCTTTACGAATCCCATCACTGGTGGGCGGCTGCATTCTGTGGGCAGGCCTGCCCCGCACACCTGCCCCGCAAAGTCACTGTGAGGTGTTGGTGGCCATTGGCTGAAAGAGTGTCACAGTGAACTCTGTCATCAGCAGAGTTGGGGATGTGGAGTGATCTGTTTAAGCGGTACCTTTCCTGGATTGTTAGTTGTGAAAGGCTTAGAGAAAAATGCGACAACACTCATTTCTGAGATAACGTGGAGTGTCATTTTACCCTTCTTTCATTCAGAGGGTCCTGTAGAATCTTTGTATCCTGGGGGAGGAGTTAGTAAAGATTCTGGATCTAGATCAGCGGTTCTCGGAACTGTATAAAGGGTCGAGGCATTAGGAAGATTGAGAACCACTGGTCTAGAATGTCTGAAAAGCCAGCCTTTATTCTACTTAGGAAGGGAAATAGGCAAGTGGAAAGGGCATAAAGTCTCCAGGGCCCAGAAGAGGGAAGAGAGCCCAAAGCAAAGGTGGGAGTGATGTGGAGATATTAACATTCACCACTGTCTGCCTCTGCTACTAGCCCTCCAAAGCCTTGGGGGTATAAGATGGGTCAAGGAAGGGCCTCCTCTCTACCTGTTTTGGTGCCTCACATATTAGCACCCAGTTCTTTGATGCGTTTTGAAGTGCTTAATAAATCAGAAGGCTCTGATTTTCAGCAAAGGCCCAGGCTTTTCCAGAAAAGCCAGGTTCCAGGATGAACCTGACGTTGATCCATCTAGCTCATCTGGCTCAGTTTGCCTTCGACTGGACTCTCACTGCAAAGCAGGCTCAGAGCACACACCTGATGCAGCAGCATCTCCCATACTGCGGGCCTGGAGGGCTCAGCACAGGCGTGTGACTCTGGTGTCCTGACTTGGTGCCTAGACTCGGGGCCAGCTTCCATTCTGGGCTCCCAAGCTTATCCTTCAAAGGGTTGAAAATAGCGTCATCATTTCATTCTCTTAGGAGCTTTCTCACCCTTGACAAGCCTGTGGGACAGAAGGACCTGCCCTCTAGGGCCCCTTGTCTATCAGCCCTGATTGAATATTTACTCTACAGAGCATCATGCCATCCATTGTGAAAAAATAATAGAAGAAGGTGATGATGCACTGCTGGCCTTGGAGCATCTTATCAACTTACAGGATAGACAGAACCAGCACAAAACAAAACACATGGACACTCAAATGTCAGCCAGACATATATCATTCATTATTTATAAATCCAATTAACTTGGCTTGGGAATGAAAATATATATATATATAAAATTGAAGTATTTTTCTGAAAAGACTAAAGTGACTGGAGCTGGAAAAAGGCGGTTTTCACCCTTGCTGGTTTGGCTCAGTGGATAGAGCGTCAGCCTGCGGACTGCAGGGTTCTGGGTTCAATTCCGGTCAAGGGCACATGCCTGGGTTGTGGGCTTGATCCCCAGTGGGGGGCATGCAGTACGCAGCCAATCAATGATTCTCTCTCATCATTGATATTTATATCTCTCTCCCTCTCCCTTCCTCTCTGAAATCATTAAAAATATATATTTTTAAAAGTGGTTTTCTAGTGCCCAAGCTTGTGTTTACAAGGAATGACCCTGAGACAAAGATTTGAAAGCAAGTAGTATATTTGAGAAGTATTGGAAACACTAGTAAGAGGAGTGGGAAAGGAAGATAGGGGAAGGAAGGCAGCCAGCAAAGGGAAATTCTGGGAACGGCTAAGCACATGCATCTCACAGTTATCTCCCAGACTCTGTCCACCAGTGGCTGAGGACTCCTTTCAGGACAAGTTAACACCGAGATGCTCTTGGACTTCCCTGCCCAATCAAATAGTTTCGGGCGAAGCTCTTCATGCAATTCATGCAAAGAGATGAAATTAATGGCAGTTGGAGGTGGGCCTTGGAAAGGCCTTGGGGATAAGGGCACAACCCCGACAGCCTCTGCTACACTTAGAGGTATCAATGACAGCAATGGCTTGGAAAATAGACTGAGGTTTCCAGCAATGAAGAAACCACTACCTATGAAGACCAAAATTAACAGTGGATGGCTTTGAAGCCAGAAACTATCGGCTTTCTTATGCAAGCTTCTCGAGAGCGTGTGGCTCAAATGACATAGGGAAGAAGGCCTAGGCTACCAGTTGAAGCTGACTGAAGATGAGAGGATCCAGGTGGTGAGGGCTGCTCCAAGTCAGGATGCCCCCTGATTCACTAGACATGTCCTTCCTTCACTCAACTTGTTTGAAGAGGCCACTGGTAACCAACAAGCAGTGAAGATTGCATCCCAGGCACCCTACTTTATTTACAAAGGATAAGAGTGACGGCATTGGGAGAGTGGTGGTGGGGTGGTCGTGGTCACAACTCTAAAGTAGATCTGATAATATAGTCTCCTTTTGTATTGTATTGTGTCGTATGTGCCTTCTGTAGAGATCTGGGGGGAGTTAAGACAGTCAAAGGCTGTAGCACAGCAGAGGGCTCGGGTTCATCTGGCACAGGTAGTGGTTGACGTATTGGTTCATAAGGCCTACACCCTAGGCTTTAGCAAATGCCTCCTGCAAGGACTCCCATGTGTTGATCTTTGTTAATGGAAACATCCATGTGTTTTACCTGATTTTAGCTGCCCTGGTAGATGTGCCCAAGAATGAGCTCCCGGAAGTTGTACCTCAGGGGCTAATCACTCCCTCCCATACCATATTATATGCTTGGATGTGCTCTATCTCTATCCTGTATTTATATGCTGGGCAGAGAAAGTCTGTAATAGAAATGTCAGGGTGTGTTGATAATTTATTGATCGCTTTTATCTGGGGGAAAATGTAGGACATGCGGATGCATTCTTATGTACCCAGTAACATACTTTGTCCATAGAGAGGAAGCAGAAAGAGTGAGTTAAGCTGGATCCTGTCAGAAGACAGAGCTACACCAGTTACTTTAACAGAAGGAATTAGTATGGAGGCTTGGGTGGGGGAGAAAGTAGTTTTCCTCAACCCTCTTAGGCTGGGTCTGAAAATCAAACTGACAAAAACAGATTAACAGGAGAAAAACATACAGAGTTAGTTAATACAAGTTTTATATGTCCTGGAGACCTCGTACTAAGGAAATGAAGGTCTGAAGAAACAGACCTGTGTATTTTTATGTGAAGTATGATAAAGAGTGGGCAGTCCTGAAGGAATATGAGAGGTTAAGGAGCCCAAGGTAAGTGTAGTTACCTGGGTAAGTTAGCAAGGCCTATTAGGCTTCTTCTTGGTGTCCCATTGTCTTTGGAGATAAGAATGCTCCTTTTCTCAGGGTGTAGGGAGGGCATCTCTCCCATGAGAATCTTATGACCTGTTTCCAGGAAGAAGGGTGACAGGGGAGGAGGTCAGAGTGAGCTTTCTGCCTCAGCTATTTACTCAAACTCCCCAGCTGAAAATATCAAAGTGCCCGTGTGTTGTATTGGGGGTAGCGTGTCCTGATTCCCATCACTTCTTAACCACGTTATTGGACAATCCAAGAGGTGCAGAAGTAGTAAATTGCAGGCAGCAGCTACAGCTTTAGGGCTGGGGGAACAAAGGGAAGAAATCGGGAGAATGAAAATGTAAATACTTGCAGAGGGGGACCCCAGACCTCTGAGGAGGGTATACTGGATGGATGGCTGTGCTGGTGTCTCTGAAGGGGTCGTCAAGAAACTGATGCCGGGAATATCAAGAAATTGCAAAATGGAATCAATTGTTCTTACTGGAACCAGTTACTGCTCCCCGGGTGAAGGGTTATCACTGGGCCATGCTGACAGATTAGGAAGCAAATAAGGAGTGAGTCACCTCTCCTCCTGCTTCTGATCTCAAGTTGAAACTCCCTGCCTACCCCCACCCCTTACCAGCAGACCTCAAAGGGAGCCCACTGGCCCAGGAGGGATATTTTGTGTAGAGTCCTAGCCCTAGTACCACTAAGTAGGGCAAGTTTGGAGGAGAGAGACAAGTTAAAAACCCACTCAAAGCCCTGGTGGTGTGCTCATTTGTTAGAGCAGAATGAAGATGCCATGAGTTTGCAGTGATGGGCCAAGGAGGGGGATCTGCCTGGGTGGCAAGGAGTGTTTTGTCACCAACATTGCTTACACTTACCGGTGCATGATCGTAGTCAAAGGCAGACTTACTCTTAGTTTTATGATTGCTCTTAAATTCTTGACAATGTGCCCTCTTCATTATGTGTGCCCAGGACAGACCACTCCCACCAGCCCCCACCCTTTGTTACACCACTAGTAACTGGCTTTGTTAGGATCAGTGCTCTTGAATGCCTTTCTCTCTCTGTCTCTCTTGGTAACACTCCTAGTCCTCTGATTCTCAGTCTGTGTTCTTCACTGGTGCGCTACCCACCCTGTGTTCTGGGGAGTCAGGATCTATAAAGGACGAAGGGGTAGCCTTGGGTTTTCCATGAGTTTTGGGAAAGGAGGGTCTCAGGTGGAGCCAGGTGTCCGTCATGTTCCATTTCTGGAGCTCTTGTGCCCCAGGCAGCCTGCCTGGGATACACACTTTCTTCAGGATCCCGAATGATGCTTTAGAGTCAACAAGCGATGCTAGATTGACCCCCAAGGGCATGGATCCTGGGCCTGGAGGAATCTTCTTAGAGATTTGTCACTTGGTGAGAAGTTGAGAGTTTGAAGTTGAAGATTGGAATCACTGAAGAGATGACCAGGTGGTTGTTGATATCCCTCCTACCCCAGCCCCTTGCCCATCCCTTGACCACCACCCCAGGGCAAAAGAAGAAGGAGGACCTCCTGCTAATTTTCAACTGCATTTTGCTCTCTGTTATGTAGTATTTCAGTGACAAGATCCACTGAGGAGAGTTGGGGCAAGGCTGGCTGAGGTTCTCAAGGAGCTGTTTTGAGTTCAGGTGCCCACATGGCAATGGAATGATGCCTCCTGACCATTCAGACCTTTGAGACCTCTGGGCGGTCTTAGAAATCACCTCAAGCCTCCCAACGAGGATCCGACCACCTGGGGGACTTCCAGGGAAAGGTAGCAGGTAGAGTATCCTTTCTGGATTTTATTCTCTCTCGTCCTCCCACCCCTCCTATCTACGTCTCTCTTGCTCTATCGTGTCTCTTTCTCCTCAAGATTCCATAGACCAGTGATGCAGGGGTATTTATTTTATGTTCTTGTCAACAGACATATCACGGACTGAAAGGTGATGGGTACCCCAAAGAGCTCACTGCAAGACCTCAAAGATTCCAAGCCACCGGCTGCTGGAACATATAAAGCCACCAGTCTGGAGAGGCAGCAGGAAGCAAGAAGCAAGCCTGGAGGAGGTGAGGAAACATCACTCTTTCCTCTGCCCTTGACTCCATCGACCTTTAGCTGTCAGATGGTTTGGGCCCAGGACTGATGGGCTTTCTCCTGTGTGTCCTTTCACAGGCTCTGTTGTTGTTATTGTTGTTGTTGTTTTTGGCCAGAGGACAGACCACCTTCTCAGGTGTCCTGGGGAACTGCTGAAGGACAGTGAGGAAGATGCTGCTGGTCCCCAGGACAGAAACACAGCAGCTGGAAGCAAGAGGCACCTAGAGTGGGACTCAAGCCCTTCAGACGGAGCTCTCTGAGCTGTGGTGCCCAATTGGACTGTTTTTGCTTTGCCATCATTTGCATAACACACAGTTCTGGATGTTTTCCATTGGTTGGCTTTCTTTCTTCTTTTTTTTCCCCCCTGTCCTTTCTTTTTCTCCTCTTGGCCCTGGGAATTGTAAGAAAAAAATTGCTTTAGAAAGTATAATTCTGTTGGTGACATTAGCCTTGTTTTATGAACAAATTCTGTCACTGGGGATTTTCTGCATTGCAGTCCCAGGTTACCTAGTAAATGGGGCTGCGTGGTTTGATTTGTGTAGTACTGATCCTTAGATTAAAAATACATTTTCTTTCTTGCTTGCTTTTTTTTTTTTTAGTTTGGATTCAGGTAATGTCCTGAATCACATTTGCTTAGCTACTGAAGCGATCTCATTGTGGTATCGCTTGGATTTGAAATATAATCAAACATATATTATACCAGGGGCGCCTGCACACTGTTTGATATATATGTTACGCTGCAAAGAAACACAAACCTAATAGGTTGAAATTTAATTCCTGTCTGATCCTGCAGCTGGAACGGGGGAGAAATTATACACATCAAAAATGGCTTCAAATACCCTGAATGTAAGCTAACCAACAGTAAGTGGCTGGTTTCCAAATGCCCTTTTCTAAGGCAAAGCAGAAACTGGAGATCCTCGGACCTCGCCACCAGGGTTGCTCGGGTCTGTCCGGGGACCTGCCCATTGTGGAGGGATTAGGGAACAAGGCATGCCTCTCTGTCTTTTACGGAAACTGTGGCATTTCTGACCTACGTTCTGTAACTGTGCCTGCCTTGCAATAAAACACCTTAAGTTGACTCAGCAACAAGGTCTCTGTCCATTTCCTGCAATACGGTGTCCTTCCTCAGTGGCTTTGTAAGAAAGTCCAGGGCAGACCGACGAGTGGTTGACTTGCCAAAGATCTCAGCTGGGTGCCACCAGAGGTGTCGCTGGAGCGCTCAGGTGTCTGCACATGGGACAGTGTGTGTGGTCAACTTACCTACTCTGCATATCGTAGTCAACGCCAGGAATCTCTAGTCACGCATAACTCTGTTAGGCCGAGTTGCTACCCTCTGTCACCATTCTCTAATTCTGCAGTCCCCACCAATTTCTTGGAGACTCTAGGACAAGCCACAAGCTCTCTGCACCTCAGTGTCCACCTATATAAGATGGGGCCAATGACACTTGCTATGGTTATGGTGATAGGAGCCTGCACAAGGACATCACATGGATGGTACATTATATAAACACACTGGAGGTGGCAGCACTCAATAAATGCTGTTTATTGTATTAATAAATGATGAAAAGGACACTTGAATTCCTTAAAGTTGGGCTTTGGTTGAGAACACTTGAGTAATCTCTGAATAGCTTCTTAGGCCTGCTTGCATAAAGCCATTCAAAAACAAGGTGAAGATTCATGGGACACAAGGCAGGAGAAGAGAATCTGCCATTCCATACCTTGTGTATGTAGCTCAATACCGTCCTTCCCCCTTCTGTGGCATCGGGCAGGTGTTTTATCTCCTTCGAAGAGATGACACCATTGCTTTAGAGCGGGGAAATGTACCACGCCCATGGATGTGGGAGGTATCATCTTCTCCCCTCTGTTTGCAGCATTGGGTCTATGCTGTTAAAGGGCAGGTGAGTCTCAGTTCTGACAAAGAGGTCTCATTCACTGTGGGGAAGAATTAGACCCGTCTCAGGCCTCAGACTGCATTTGCCATTTTACTAGAAAGCACTTTTGAGAAGACCCCAGCACGCTCCACCACCTCACCTGAGATTTCAGGATAAACACAATGTAAAACAAAGACAAGAGGTAGGGCATTCATTTCCTGTTGGGTGGCTTCTGAAGGAGTTGTTCTCTGGTTGCCATGGGGGGATTATAGTCCCACAGATATGAATCCTGGACTTCAGGCCATGCAGAGTAGAAATATTTTCTACTTTCTACCTTGAGGTCATTAAAATGGTAATAATAACACAATAGCAATGGACAGTTATCAAGTACTTAGCATACGCTGACCACTGGGCAAAGTATTTTACGAGCACTGGCTCATTTAACTGTCGCAATAACCGGTTGAGGTAGTACTCTTAACTCCCATTTTCTGGGTGAGAAACCAAGGCGTGAAATCACTAGATGACTGGGCCAGGCCACTCCAGTTGGCGAGTCATAGCTGGGATGCACTGGGCTTTCCTGACTCCATTGCGCTCAGCTGCTTCCTCACAGTCCTTGTCTGCTTTCCAGGCTCCTGACCTTGAACCTCACCTTTGGAAATTACTTACATCTTGGGGCTATTAATTATCATCCTCTCCTGCCGGATTCTCGCAATTATTGTCTAAGCACTTGGCAAATGTACTCCAACTAGCTGCAAATCAATATGAAAAGTAAAGGTTTTAATTTAAACAATGAGCATTTTTTAAAATGTAAAATAAAAAATGTATTCTTCCAAAATGGGTCCAGGTTCAGCCTTCTTTATGCTGAATTCCACTTCTGTTTCACATTCTGAGGTTCCAGTGCATCATACCCAGGGGGAGTCCTCACAGGATGTGAATGTTGAGCCCAGGAGCTATCTCAAGAGTAAACGAGAGAGCACTGACTAAAGGCAAAATAGTCTTAGATTCTTGAGCAAAATGATGCTGACTCTAACCTTAGCTCCTAAAACCTGTTTTCAAAAGCATCACTCATGTCAGAGGAAAAGAACCTCTTCCCACTTCCCACCAACAGCTTATCCAGAAGGGGGTATTATTGTGTATTTGTCTGAAGGACCCCAGGAGTTTAAAGCAGCTACATGTTTGTAGACAGAATGTACCAGACACAGTTGGTGCCTTGTCCGTATTTCTGAGGGCTTTCTCTGCTGGGGGCGCCTGTGTGCATCCCAGGTCAGACGTGCTGGGGCTTTTACTCCCCTCCCCATGGAGACTAACCCTCACCCAAGACTGGAGAAAGTTGATATATGAGTGCCCTCACCTCCTCACCCTTTGGGGGGACCCAGTGAGGCGTGCCCTACACTGGTTTTGAGTTCTCCAGGGAGGTGACATGCCAGTGGCCCATGGTGGGAACTAGTTTGTTAACCCATTTAAAAATACATATATTTTTCTTGATTTTAGAGATGAAAGGAGCCAGAGAGAGAGAGAGAGAGAGAAACATCAACGAGAGAGAATCATTGATTGGCTGCCTCTAAGGTTCGAGCCTGCTCCAGGCATGTGCCCTGACTGGGAATTGTACCGTGACCTCCTGGTTACAGGTCTACACTCAACCACTGAGCCATGCCAGTCCGGTTTAACCCATGTTTGTCGGCTGTCTTTCCTTCCTTGTCTCACACCCACATCTCCCCAGTAAGTAGTTAATTTGCATACAAATGCCTGTGTGAGGGTCTGCTTTTGGGGGGAGTCAGAGTGCATGAACAAGTCTGGTGCTGGTCAGTTATCTATAAAAATGAAAGTGTAACATGATAATTAGACCAGATGACCTTCCGGATGAAGCTGAGGCGGCAGGGGCTGAGGCAGCTGCTGCCATGGCAGTGGCCAAGCCCCTTGCACAAATTTCGTGCATCGGGCCTCTAGTAGAAATAATAACGTCCCAGAGAAATTACAGCAGCATCATTCGGGGCTAAGCTCTTTCCCACCTCATTCTTCTGCTGGAACCTCTGCTATGTTAGCAACTGGAAATGAGACCTTCTAAACCTGAGGCCCACATGCCAGAGAACAACTTCCTTCCTGTGAAACAGGCATCTCCACACGTTCTGAGATATTTTGCCTTTAAATGAAAGACTCCACAAACATATGAGACCCGGGCCAGAATCACCTGATGGCAAATCAAATTACAATTCAGTGGGTAGAACAAGTAATTAAATAGAAGGGGGTAATGGGAAAAGGAGAGAGTCACAATCCTCAAGCCCACTTTCACCTCTCAAGGACTCCTATTTGCCTTTGAATAACTTCTGCTTCAATTAACATTGATTGAGCCTGCCTAGAGTGCTTGGCTCTTGTCAAATTCCATTACCAGAGGCTCTAAGACACTCTGTCCGTGAGCCTTTGTTGTATGGGGACATTTCTGTAGGAGTATTGGATATTGTGTGGAGTAGCTAAGACATCGATCAAGACTGTTATACTGGAGGCTTGCTTTTTCTGGCAGGGCAGTTTTGTATACAAGATTTCATCTTTGGAAATTCTCTAAGTTCAAGTTATGATGCTCTAAAAACGCTTGTCAGACGGACCTACTACTGCTTTTAAAAATAAATGTTGAACGTGTCAACCCTGTAAAGTAAGAAAATGTGCCCTAATCTTTGTTTAGAGACATTAAACACTTAATTTATTTTTATTGTAGCTGGGAGGAGGACACACAAAGAAACATATTTCTTTTATGGGCTTCTCTGTAAGGACTTTGATGTTTATGTTATCAGAGATGGGAAAATGAAATTATAGTGTGTGTCAGAGCCTGTCTTATCTCCTTTCTCACTCTTTGCTGAGGTCTTGGAGGGTGGGGCTATCCATATTTTATGCAAAATGAGGGTAAGATTCCTATTAGGAAAAAAAGCAGAGAATAACATTGTTCTTAGAATCTTAAATGACCAAGGACATTTTATACAGGGAAAAACACTTGCTATTATTGATACCTTTTTATGCCCACATTTTTTAAAAATTCTTTATTCATGCCCACATTTTAAATCACATTAATTATTATTTTGTTCACTAAACATTAAAATGCTACCTCTGCCACTAATAAAACATACTTTATGAATCAAATCATCTTAAGTATTTAAATCTGATTACAAATTCAAGTAGACAAATTCTCTTAAGTATTTCAATAAAATCTATGCCAATTTCATTTAAAAGCTTCACAAACTTTGAAAGCAGGTTGTATGCACATGCCTGCACACACACACACAAGTAATCACAATGTAATTCAAAATGTATTATACCTACATTTAACTGATTCAGAAGTATTTATGCTATGGGTTTGATTTATATCTTTATTATTTATAAATTTGTTTTATCACTTCCTTTTTTTATAACCCTCAGTGTTTATACTTTCCTAGAGTTACAGTCATCTTGCTAGACTCAAAAGGAAAAGAATGGCATCTCAGAGCAGCTGAGTTTACAGATCTGGGGTTATCCGCCACTTAATTTTTGCTTGGCATTCTGGATCTTAGTGGATCTTTCCAAAGGTGATGCAGCCCTGGGCTGATGTTTACTGGCCTGAATTTTTCTTAAGAGTCAAGGTTCAGTTGCTATGTCAATGAATTGTTGGGAGCCCTTGTCTAATACTAGCAACATGGAGCACCCCTGAGAGCTCCCATGCCCATCAAATCCTAGTCCCAGGCAGTGAGCCTGGACTTCGTGATGCTTTGGTTTCTCCGTATTTTTTTAAATAAAACACAAGTTTCTTCATCTCAAGGATGAAAGGAAGAGTCTGGTGAGCTGCTTCATGCATCAGCTTCCAACACACAACTGGACTCTCCACCAGCTATTACATAGGGTCATAGGAGAGGGTCATTTCTTTGGTCCATCAAGAAAAATCTCCAACTTTTCTTGTTATTTGACTTAAAATCCACTGTAGCTTTTTTTTTCTATTTACTGAGAATCAATATGTATACATATGTTTAAATGTATACCAAATAAAAGTACCAGGCATCTATATATGTATATAGAGCATCCATATCTATAATTTCTAAGCTACTTATTAAAAATATTTACAAAAATATGCCATTTGTTTTTTAATTAACTTTATGTATCCTTATACTTTTTCATTGTTGAATATTATTATGGATTCAAGGAGTTTCATAGACATAAATTATTCCAGTCAACTAAAAATTCTTATTGCT